TTCTTTCCTGCTGAATCCTGCTAATAAACTGGTAAACTGGTAATTGTGAATTTTTTAATTGATCCCATAAATTGATCACCACACCGTACGAGGTGATTGAAGTCTTGAACGCAGGTCGGGATTACCGACTACGCCTAAATCCTAACGACCTCACCTACCCCGTATTTCATATCTCCAAACTCAAACTCTACCACCAAGACAAGACCGACACCGCGGATGTTGCGACCATACAAGTGGTCTCGTCACAACCGGAACCAACCCCAGGAGATTCTTGAGGAGAGCCCATGGGGCAAGCTACGAACTGTGACAAGGGGGTGTGTATCAAATTTGATGCGCTAGCACCCCCGCAATGTGAGTCTTTTATTTCTTACGCTCCTTGTATTAAAGAAAACATTGGCAAGCAGTTACATCTCCCAAATAACAGTACCTTAAGAATCAATACGAAATTAGGACAGCAAGATCTTATTCGACAAACCGAAAGGACGATCACTTGCAGCCAACAACTTGGTTTTGTCATTGGCGGAAAAAACCCCCTTTCGGACCGAACACGGAAGCCACTGGGGCATGCTACGACAATTGACAAGGGGGTGTGCATCTGATCGATGCGATAACACCCCCGCAATGTGAGTTTGCTACAACTTTTTCTCAGTCAGCCTTCATGAAACGGCTAGCAAGCAAAATTATCTCCTACATAACAGGTCATTAGACTTAACGAACGACGATACGCGCAACGATTATTCAAAGCCACGAAATACAAGACTCAAGAACATATCTTACTCTTACTTCAAGACGCAAGATTCAAGACCTCATCAATCCAATTTTTTCTTTCAATAAAAATCTTTTCTTCTCAAATCATTATGACTTCACCAAGAACCAAACATCATTTTTTCTCTTTCTTCTCTTGTTTTTTTTTCTTTTTCAAAAAATTCAGTTTTACTTTTCTCACTAAGTTTTTTTCTTTTTCTCAGGGACGAGTTATGGTCATCATTTTAAGGGGCGAGTTATGCCAACAACTTTGTTTGGATTATTTTCAATTTTTTCCTTTTTTTAATTTTTTTCATCATTATTACCTTCAAGACGGTTAAACTTTTATTTTTAGGAGGGAAGGGTGTAAGGAGTACACAAGGACAGACTTTACTTATGGGGTTTAGATTATGGGATTAAACAGGCAGGATTATATCTTCCAGCTCCACGCCCGGTTCTAGAAAGTCTTCACTCCTCTGAGAGCCTTTATGTGGACTTTCTGGAACCAGGTGTGCATTTCTCTTATTGTTTTCATATGTTTCTCTTTCATTTAGCGGGTCACTGACTCCTCTGAGAGCCTTTATCTGGACTTTCTGGAACCAGTTCGTAATTAATATATCGAAGTTCCAAGTTACTTGTCCCGTTGTGCTCTCTCAAGAAGTCGAGCCGGAACCTTATCCGGACGCTAGTGAAGGTTTCTCATCAAAACCTTACAGAGGGTTCCTCTAAGAACATCCCAAAATCATCAAGATTAGATGATCTATCATGGCTGACTGATTGTATTTGATGAGCTGTTAGGACACCCAGGGGGTGGAGAAAAAATATCATTTATGATGTTACTATGAATGCTGCCAAATGAAACCAAGCATTGAGATTCTCAGCCTCTTGAGTCTGAGGCAAGATTTACTTGGATAAGATCCTTAGAAGGAGCTTCCCTCACAGTCAAAATGCAAGGACTCCTTGAATTTGTGCCTCCAAGCCAAATATGCTGGCTGTGATGATCAAATAGGAAAACAAGCAAAAGCAACCAAATTATTCATGTTTGTGTCTTGGTTGGCAGAGTGTTTTTTTGTGCATAAAGGCTTTGTTGCATGAAACACTGTCTAAAGATGTTAAAAAAGTAGGGACTAATGTAACTTGGACACTTTGGCCATCTAATTGAAGCAAAGGATTTTGTTGTCTTTTGAGTCTAAGATGTTCTTGCTTGACTTCTTTAAAAAAACAACTTTTGTGATTCAAGAATCTTTAATATTTCACACCTTTGTGCAAACACACCCAGTTAAGGAATTTGGTAGAGATCAATTTGTATAGCAAGTCTTTACTTGTGGTCTCCATGGAGCTGAGAAGGCACTTGAACCCCCTCACTAACCCCCTAACCTGGCGCAAACCAAAGTCACAGGGGAGGAAGGCAGTTGCTTTTGGTGTAGGGTTCAGTGGTGCGCTGTACCAAGATTCCAGATGTATCCATAAAATATGATATTTGAGATATGAAGTGGCAAAGAATCTGTCTTGATTGAACTTGTAGTGTTGCCCAAACCCAATGATGAGAATTTAACAATTCTTGATTACTGTAACAAGGGTAGTCTCTTCTGGAATCTGTAACAAGAGCTAACAGTATGCTGCCGCTGATGTTGTTCAACAGAACCCTGTTACAAGGGATTTAAAAGCTATTCACAAAGTACTTTTTTCATAGATTGACAACTTTTACTCTTCTTGGTGGCCAAGTGCCTTGGTCTAGTCCCTGTAAATAAGAAGAGTTGTGTACATATTGTTTAGTTCTAAGAAAAAAATTGGGAGTTTCTGGTAATTCTTTGGCATAATTCCAGTTTACTCATATTCCTTCTTCTTTCAGATTTGTCTGCATTATTTCACTAGCTTTTGAGTATTGTATGCAATAGAGTAAAAATGATTGGTGGTTTCAATTAATCCACAGTTTCTACATAGTGGTGAATGTGTTAGTTTTCTGTTGAAGAGATGAGCATTTAGAGGACTCAAACCTGCTCTCAGTTGGAAGATACCAGTTGCACTGGCTTTCTTGAGTTTGGCTAGTCCTTTCACTATTTGCTTGGGCTTTGTCAAGAAAGGGTTTATACCTAAATTGAAGGGAAAAGTTTTAATGTCAAGGTTTCCTTTTGCACACCTTTTCAGAGAACCTATATTTTTTGACAGTGTCATTAGGGCGGTTCAAGTTGAGAAATGCGAGCAACGTGACGCAGAGTCGCAATCAAGTTTTTTAAGGTTGCTCACTCCTTAAAATTCTTGATCACTCAGTCACAAACGCTCTAAAACTAAGTTTTAAGGCCTTTTAAAAAAAGGGCCAACGTACTCCGACGCTCATACCTCCTTTTTTTTCTGCACCCAACGGTTCTTCTTTAGTCCTCTGCCCTGTTTCTACTTGCCTTGGTGAAGTTCAACGGCTTGTTTTAGCAGTCAATTATGGAGTTTTTCGCGAAAGAATCCATAGCTAATGAGAAAAAACTCTCACATCCAGGTACACCAAAAAACAAAACAAAAATGGAAGATGATCTTTTTTCATCATTCGGACCTGACAGTCATAAGAAATTTAAGCAAAATTGAGTGATTGCAAAACTGTGAACCACCTCTAGAGGTGGTTCGCGAACTTATAATTATACTTAAAATTTAAAGCACCCGAACAAAACATAAAATTTAAAAAGGGGTGTAAAAGCTCTTCTTGAACCACCCTATTGGTAAGTCCTGTTCCTTTGCTGTATTGCCTGCTACTTGGTTTACAAGCCAGCTCATTCAGTTCTATGCCTTTGTGGCCTTGTGTCCAATAACTGTGGATACTGGTGTTCTTAGACATTTTCAAATGTGTATCTGGATTAGGATCCGCTGGACTGTATTTAATTTGGGCATATCATTATGACACCCTGATTATCACTGAAAATGGAAAGGGCAGTAGGAGTTGGTCTTAGTACTTCAAATAGATTGCTAGATCAATTGGCTGCTAATAGTAGGCCAAGCAACTTGGTTTCATGGTGTGAAAGGCTGTTGTTACAGACAATTGCTTGGGCTGGGCTAATTATCTTGGTTACCACCACTGCACCCCATTCCTCTTGAGTAACTGAGCCTTCAGTGAAGATAATTACTGTCTTTCAATACTTTTCTTCATCATCAATTTCTACAGGGATGTGCTTTGATGCTGCTTCTTTGTTGTGCTCTGTTGAATATTTCACCTATGCACTTTGCCCATGGTGCTATTAGGTAGGCACATTTTGTTTTGGTTCCTTCTGATGCAAGTGACTTGAGCTGGTTGTAGTTGGCTGCTTTATGAATAGTCCCTGGGTGATGTTTGGGCTGGTGATGTAGTTCATTTTTGACAAAAATACCTGTTGGGTGGGTATCTGAGGATGTTAATCTTTTCAGGATCAAGTTGTGTGTGATGTCTCCGCTTTGATAACCATGTGAATGGTGTGAGATATGTGTAGTGGCTTTCATTTGTTTGAAGTGCATTTGAAAGCTCTAACAAATAATTCATTTTCTGCGTTTTGTCTCTTTTCTGATAGTCTGTTTACTTTCATGTTGTTCAGTTATGTGTCTGGGGGTGGGCATCTGGCTGTAGACTACCCCCAAAAGTAGGCTCTCCTCCAGTAGGGCTCTGGGGAAGGTGGGAGGGCATATAAAAAGTTGAGGATTTGTGTTCCAAGAGCACCCACTATGGTTGTGTTAACAACATGATTTAGGGTCAGTCTCCTGCTAAAATACAGACAGGTCCACTCTAGACCTGACTTAGACCTGCGGTCCATACAACTTTGTCAAATCTTGCACCCTGCGTGTTCAAATCTACAACCACCTACAACTTGATTTATAGTAGGAACTAGGTAAAGCAGATGACCCATAGTGGATTTCATGTGGTTACCAACTTAGGTAAAACATGCATGTTCAAATTTTGCGTTGAGGAACGCAAAATTTACGATCAAACACTCTTACCATAGTGGATTCTCTAAGAGCTATTGAGTGTGTGCTGGAACTTGTGATACGCGGTATACGAAAAGCGCGCATTGAGATTTCCAACCAATATCTGAGCGGCCCGGTACTCGGGTCTGCGACTTTTCGGCTCACGGGAGTTATCCGCGCTCCCAAGCTCAGGGGTCCGGGGAACATTCGGAAGTCGTCGTGCTTTTGGACATCCGTGGCATACAGGGCGACATACCATTACAGCCTGTCGGCACTTGACACTACTTGACTTCACTTGACTCTTTCTAGTCGAATCGCTCGAAAGCGTGATAGTATCAATGAGCTTCAATCCAGAGCATAAGAGCGAGCACTTGAATATCATCGGTTCAGGAGTCCTCGGTCTCACTTGCGCTCTAGAAATAGCGAAAGAAAAAGGACGTTACACTATAACCATCATCACTGCGGATGCCGATTCATCCACTTGGTCACCATCGGCTCCACCAAAAATTGAGAAAGTCGCCGAGGACTTTGCTTCACCTTGGGCAGTTGAGTAAACCTCATCGAACCAAAATCTGTACTCCTGCCTAACTTTCGTTCAAGTTTTGCCTTGAACTTTCAAGGGCGCATATTGGCAATCATTTGTAGCGACTAGAGATCCTAAGACGTTCAACGAAAAAAGATTACAAGATTGGGAGAAAACTTCCTTCAAAGAATTATGGAAAATCTCAGAGACGGACAAATCAATTGTGATGGTGAAATATTTGATTCTTGGAGTTCTCAGCCCAAGGGATGTGTTCGTTGAAACATCTCAACACTATTCCAGCAAACCGATTGTCACGAATATTTTGATGAAGAACTTAGTGACCATGAGTTACCTTGGTACACCGATTTGTGTCCAGAGGTTGGCTAAAGTCTTTGCGATTCAATTATGCCAGGTAAACAAAAAGCTAATGGCCACTACCCTCAATCCCCAACCACAAGTTTCGACGACTAACCTCATCAGAGCTTGCAAGTCTGCCCCGCCCCCGACAAGCAGGGATTTCATTCAAGACGATCTCACTCAATCCGATGATGTATCTAACTTTTCTGCATACTCAATTATCCAAGATGGGCGTTCGAATCGTTCACCATCGCTTGAACTCGCTTGCGGAAGCCTTCGAAGGCAATAACACTCTTCAAATTCCGCGCGCTGACATCGTCATCAATGCGTCAGGTCTAGGGGCTGCTACCTTACTTGGTGTAGAAGACAAATCTGTACATCCCATTCGTGGCCAGCTAGTTCTAGTCAAACCACCTCAGCCAATATGTTTCTCGACAAGAGATTCTTCAAGGAAGACTTACATCATCTCTCGTCCTTCCGTTGACCCGGAGATTGACGAGGAAGTAATACTAGGAGGGTGCTACCAGGCTGATAATTTTGACCTTTCAGTTGACCCCGATCTGACTAATCACATTCTGTGTGAGGCTTTCCAGACACGGCCAGACCTAAGTAGTGATGGTACCCTACAGGGAATACATGTATTGAAAGAGGTTGTAGCGCTTAGACCTGCTAGAAAGGATGGAGCTCGACTTGAGGTAGAGAAAGTCGTCATTTCTGGGGAAAACAAGCATGCTGTACATTGCTATGGAATTGGGTACGTCCCTTGTCTATTTAGTGGTCAAGGCTTCCATACACTTTCTATGCATCCCTTCAAGTGAATTACTGCTGAGCCATGTCTTGATCGCTTCTTACAGTGGTGCTGGGTTTCAGGTAAGAGATGTCCCTCTCTTTCATGGCCCTTTTGTCCTCCGAATTTACCATATTTTTTCTGCTTGTGGGTGCGAAACAATTGCCACTCATTTTTCCTTCAGTCAAGTTATGGTATGGCACAGGAAGCATTGGGATTGATTAAGGCACTTCGAGAGGGTCGGGAAACTGTTTAAAAATCAAACTTCACTGACAACACTTATTTGTGTACACCGCTGTACAACAACATGACTATGGCATAGAGGCCAAGTACGAGAATAATTTGCAAGACATGATGTTGATTTCAGGGTCTGGCGTATGCCAATCTCTACCAAGAGTACAATATCAGCTTTCATTTTTCCATTACATATGCTAGTGACACCCTGCCTGACCTTCTGTCCACACAAACACTTCGACATCCTCAGACACAAATAGACCATCATTCTTACAACTGGATTTTGAATCTATTGCTTGTGGAAGTTTAGCTACATGAGGTCTATGTCTGAGTTGACAATCTCTATGAATTCAACCAACGCTTGACCACTTCCAATTTTGTTGCACACAGCTTTACTTGAACCAATAACAGTGACCAAACTCAGGATGAACATTTTAGAATATTGGAAGTACAAAAAATAGTCATGTGTTGAATCACATATCTTGAATTTTCTGCAATCATGTAATACAATTAGGGCCCGTTTGGTTGCGATCATTTTACTGCGATTATGCCAATACCACAGTAAAATAATTGCAACTATTTTTTCACGTTTGGTAGCCCAAAAACACGGATTATCTTACCACATTATTTGTTCAATAATCTCATAAGCGGTATTAATTTTGTAAAGGATCGCGCTATTTGGCGCCCGCTTTCAAATTACCCGAAGCCCGGTTTTTTCGGTACATCAACCGTGCCTCCAGGCCAAATTTGGCCGCAGCCGCAGCTGTATCACAAAGCGGGCTGTCATATCAAGAAAGCGGGCTCTAATACCCTTTTACCGGGCTGTCACTCATGAAACCGGGCTGTACCTTATCAAACCGGGCAGTATAGGTAGTGTTCTCTCTACCTATATTCGTTCGACACATTCTCTCTCAGCTGCTTCGACACTTCCTTCCTAAGTACAACTTCCAATTCCCAATTGGACTCACCCAAAGAAGCAACGCCTCCCAACCCAATCCGTCCGAATCCAAAGATGGTAAGTCGTTCACCTTCACCTATCTTATCTTGTCTTAGTAGTTTCTACCCTCATTTTACCTCCGAAACAAAGAACAACCTGACTGACAAAGCTCTTCTCTTCTAGTCGCTCCTTACCATCTCAGTTGTTGATCTTACCAACAATCGGACCTTTGTATTGACCGTTTCAACCTCAACCATGTCCAATCAAGTACCTTCATCAGGCACCGTTTCCAAACGATTGGCAAACACTATTGCACAACTAGTTCACACCAATCCACCTCATCCAAGACCACCTATACCACCACCACCATCTCTAACAGGCCACTCGTACCCCTACCCTCCATATATTTATCCTCCAGCTCAAGCTCACTACCTGTCACCCCCACATCTTACAGAAAGTTATCATGCAACTGCTAATCAGATGCCCTTGGACCAGTACTGGCGATATCCTTACTTTCCCCCTTATCCATATCCTCCACCTAGTTATCCTCATGTCCCATACCAACAGTACCCTCAACAACTTACTGCTCCTCCTCCTCAACGTACTCATCACTCTCGCTCCACGGAAACCTCAACTTCACATACCCGACCTAATCATCCACATGTCGCATACCATCCGTCTGAAACTTCTACTTCGGCACCTCCTGCTCAACCAAACCCCAATCCCTTGATGGAACCGTCGACTTCAACACCCGAGATTGATCAAAAGGCAACTCAGTTGCCTCATACTGTCACTGTCACTTCGAATTTGAGTGTCGATATACCAGCGGAAGAGAACCATCATCAATCAGTCATCACACCAGCTCCTGCTCTTCCCGAACCAGATCCATATGAGGCAGTACTTGCTATTTCCAGTCCTAATGCCAATGACTCCGGCAAAGATTCTGTGGATGACGATGAGCTTTTCGACCTTCAAGCAGAGCGCGATGATACCTGGCCTCCTATCGGTAAGCCCATATATCACTTTTTCTAACCATTTTGCTCATTGAATCTGAAATCAATCTTTGAATATTATAGGTGCTGAACCTGTTCGCCTCATGGATCCTCCCATGTATGGGAAACAATTCTCGGCGCTTGCGAGCGGGATCATGTACCTCAATGCTGTAGCACGACACCAAGGATACGGTATAGCTATAAAAAGTCACAAAACTGAAAACCACCAGAAGGTTCGCGTGTATTTCAGGTGCTCACTTGGCCGCTCAGTCAACTCAGTTGCCGAGGTTCGCGAAACGTCGACCAAAATGACGAAGTGTCCATTTGAGGTATCCCTCAACTACCATTCACGTTCCGACAGATGGGTAGTCCAACAAGACAAAAAGACGATCACCAAACATCATCACAATCACCAGCCATTCGATCAACCCCACAATTACTCAAACAATCGACGATTTTCTGACGATGTCTTACAGCAGATGGCACTTCTCTCCTCAGCGGGTTGCCGCGCAGGCCAGATCCGAGAGCTTCTACACTTTGCTCCTGGCTCAGAACCTCTGGCCAGGGATATTCGGAATGCCCTCAATCGACAAAGGGATGTATGGCTAGGTGGAAGGACTCCGATTCAAGGATTATTTGACTTAATTATCGAAAACGATTGGGCATTTCGTACCAAGACCTCAGCAGATGGGACTCTACAGTCCTTATTCTTTGCTAGCCCCGGTGGTATAGAATTGGCTTGTCGATTTCCAACAGTCATCGGCATGGACTGTACCTACAAGACTAATCGCTTCAACTTACCCCTCCTGCACATCGTTGGTACGACGAACACGCACAAGACCTTTACAGTTGCTCTCTGTTTCTTACACAGCGAGGTTGAGGCTGAGTACTTATGGGCATTGGAACAACTGAAAGCGGTAGTATTCCCTCCACTGGCTCCCAAGGACGTTGGCCCTATCAAAACTGACGATATCAAGACGGATACTCCGATCTCTACAAGTTCTGACATCAACAACAACTCGGGTACCACAAGTTCTGACATCAACAACAACTCGGGTACCAGGACTGAACACGACAACAATGACACTTCCCAAGCTGCAAACTCACTCGAACTTCCGCAGACGTTCTGCACCGACGCTGAGCCAGCACTTTACAATGCTATTGCCAAAGTTTTCCCAGATGCTACTCACATCTTGTGCATCTGGCACATTAATCACAACATCAGCAAGAAGTGTAAGAAAAAATTCAAGGGTGAAGACTGGACGTCATTCATGAAGATATGGAATAAGTTTTTACAAAGTACAACAACTCAAGATTATGATGACAACCTCAACGAAGTGAAGACTATAGCTCGCCGTCACGGGATTTTAGAATACTTAGAGAGAACTTGGCTCAACCGCACTGAAAAATTTGTCGCCCTATTCACCTCAAAAACTCCTCACTTCGGGAACTCATCAACATCCAGAGTAGAAGGTGGTCACCATCGATTGAAAAACTTTTTAGATGGTAGTACAAACGACTTTATTACTTGTTTCAAAGCATTCAAACGTGCAGGAGACACACAATTCAAAGAGATTATGGTTTCAACGGGGGTAGAAACACAAAAGACACTTCTCGGCCTTCCTAAATGCTTTCAAGAATTACATGGCAAAATTTCGCATTTTGCTATCAAGAAATTAAGGACTCAATACACCATCATTTCCAATGCCTTGGACCGACCGTGTTCAAAAACATTTCGTGGCGCTTGGGGCATGCCATGTGCTCACGAGTTGGCTCGCGCGTTGTTAGAGTCAGATTACATAGATCCGAAGCTTTTTCATCGACAATGGCATTTGACTCAACTCAGTCCTCCCGCTACACTTGAAGCTCTCCAGTCAGCTGTTAGAAACAAGGTAGACCAACTTTTGGAACTACCTGAACAAGCTCTTCGCAAGATTTATGACGAACTTGCCAGGCTCGAAACAGGCCGTTATGCCCTTGTTCCGATTTCAAATGCAATTATAAAAGGGAACACCCGTGGACGACCTCGAAACACTAACATCAAACGGCCAGGTTCATCCAAAACCGAAGGACGCTGGAAGTCAAATATGGAGCTTGAGGATGAAGAAGAGGCAATTAGGCTAGCAAAGAAGGCACGAGTTTCCTCACCTCTGTGTGGCTATTGTTCCCAGGCAGGCCACAACCAAGTCACTTGTCCCGTTAGGCTGGTCGACGCAGCTGTTGACTTTGACGAATTTGACCTTCAAGATGATTTGACCCAAGATCCGACACTGCACGCTGTTCCTGCTTCCGGAAACGTTCCGACTGCAGTATCTCAACTCTCTCAACCGTCAACATCTAAATGTACGAAGCTTTCTCAAGTCACTCAACCACAAGGCTCCTCTCAAGCAACTTTGATACCCGGTCTGACTCAATCGACACAACCGGACCCCAATTCTCAAAAGTTGGGCAAACGCATCTACAAATGTAGCATCTGCAAAACTCCGAATCATCGCGCCAATAAATGTCCTTTCAAAGATTCTTCTGAAACTCGTCAAAAAGAATCTGCAGTTTCCCTATGCCCAGATTCAGCCGAAAAGATCACATCTGATTCTCAGGGACTTTTGGACAACCAGGTTGATGATTTACTTCTTTCCGACGACAGCAGCATCGGTCCACTGTGGTCCGACGCAGAAGAGGACAACTTATGTCCTTTCTGCGATGATCCTCTACCTTCAGAACCGTCCGAAAAACTCCAGAGGTTGAAAGCCACTCTCTTTGCTTTGCCGAACATCACCAAAAGGTCGGGTCACCGAGATGCCATGTGTTTACCCGTGAGTTTTATTATGAACAACCTTTGGATGTAGATTTTGACTGAAATCTTGTGATGTTTGATTAATTGCATAAGTTCCCGCAAACCGCAAGCTTTTGCGAACTTCATCAGGTAGAAAGAGATGTGATACCATTGGGAATCCGCGAAGGATGGCCCACTGCCATTGATTTCGAGTTGCTAGTCACGTGAGGACCTCTCTCTGAACTTCATGAGTTGCTTTAATGCTAACACAACATCTGCGTTATTACCACCCAGTCGCATCAAAGGACATTCCAATCATC